TGTGCTCTCTAATACCCCCTACATCATTTTTGTCGGATTTGAGACCACAGCTGAGGCCAGAGATTAAGTGTTCGCAGTCTAACACTGCAGTAATGCTAGGTGAACGCTCGGTTGTATTGTTTGCTTTCAGAGGACCGCGTTGTCAAAGTGCACACGCCAAGGGTTCATGTTCCCGAGCGATTTTTTTAGAAATGCATGTTGTTTTTCAGCGATCGCACATTACTGTTTGTTGCCCTGTTTCTTCAAAAAAATCCTAAAGCTGTAAAGCGGTAGTTCTGGCGTAAATTGTTATGCACTATGGGCTGAAATGCGTCGATGAGAGCGAACAACGGCCGTGGCAGCGAATCGGTGAAGCGCGGCGGTGGCACGTACTCCCATTTTTTGTAATGTGCTTGCTGATATGACACAGCTCGCGGGAAAACAACTGCGCTTTCTCGGCCCAAGCAGACTCAAAGTTTCTCAGGGTCAATCTATCTTATGCATATTCTTTTATTTATTTATCTATTGCTTGCACATTTTGTACGTGATCACGCAAGGAACGGAAAGATTTACAATAACAAATCCCGGAGTATGCATAACCAAAGCGCTATTCAGAAACAAAAGAAAAATATCTAACGAAACTGAACATCTCTTTAACCCTTTGACGACCGTGTGGCCCGCCGGTGGGCCACACTTTCGCTCGGTGGCGACACGTTTTTCGGGTTTATTTTGGCATTTTTTATGTTTCAAAACTACACAAATACATTATCGAATTCGCGGAATAATGCGCTAATTACTAATAGTGAAATTGTTGGAGAGTTAATGATTATTGATGAAAAAATTTAGAAAGAAGTGAAGTGACGCATTCATAACGGCGGTCGTCAAAGGGTTAAATCCAACGTTAAAATAGAGTTTGAGGCATTTCTCTGCATATTTCGGGTTCTAACGTTGCCATTCCTTTAGGTACCATAGGAAAACGTCTCTCCTCCATCAACCTTGAAAACAATGAGACGAACAGACAGAGATACAGGTAAAAAGTCATTAGCATGGTTTTCCTTCAATTTCTCATTCTGGAAGAATTTGCTTTTAGACAACTGCTGTTCACCACACCAAACCTTGGTGAGCACATCTCCGGAGTCATCCTTTTCGAAGAAACTTTCCATCAGGTATGTTTCGTTTTGTATGTTTCCCTCCGTCTCTCTACCTAGACCTACTGGAAAATTCTCACTTTGGGTATATTGTTGTTCCGCTTTGTTTATTTGTGGGTACGGTTGCTAGTTGTCGGGCTAGATACTAATCGGTGTTTGCGTTGAGTAGCAAAAAAGGACCGCTCCCAACACGGAAGAGTGTTGATATGGCTTCTCTGTCCACACTCCGTTATTAGTAGTCAGAGCCTCTAACGGTTGTTTGAGTGTATCGAATTTTTTCAGGTTGACTGTTCTTTGATGCGATCGCTCTGCGCTTCCTTTAGTCGATAGATTGTACTCTGGACTTCAAAACGTGTACTAGTGTTGCTCAAGGTCAAACATCTAGAAAGCCAACGTCATGCCTGCTCGCTCTTTTAACGTCATTAGAGAGAACGGCACTCGCAAGGCTGACGGGAGGGGGGATTTCCATTCAATGCAATAGTTCATGCCGCCTGCGATAATTCCAGCTTTTGTAGAACCAGGAGGCTTCGAAGTGTGTGAATCATCCCTGGTCTTTTTTCATTCTGGGAAATGAAAATGTCAAGAAGGTTGCTTTGGGATCATTGGTGCAGTAATTTTTGATTACACTGATCAGTGCATTGTCTTGTTCTTAGATTTGTGCTGTTCGAATCGTTGTGCCGTTCCGTGTTGCGGAAATATGAGGAAGCGGGAGTGGCCGTTGATGTCGCAGCGTTAGGATTCCGATTAGGTCTCTCACAGGGTCATAAAATTCATGCGTCTTAGAAACCTGGCAAGTAAGTGCAGCGACGGTCTAGTACTTATAGCGCCACAACTAGTGCATATAAGTTCCTTATCCCTCCCTCCCCATCCCCCTACTCACAATGCCGTCCGCCCACTGTCCGCTCGCTCTGGATAGCGGGGTTCAGAAATGCGCGGGGCACTAGTTGCTTTTCTGCACTTTGCGAATTGACGGGCGCTCTATTGTAGAGGTATGTCAAACTAAAGATTTTTTACGGCTCATTCTTCCCCTGGCTTTTTAATGCGTTGCTATTGAATGCTTTTGAAGAGGGGCTAAAAGGGAGAAAAGGAACAAGCTTTCCAATTTTGTTACCTTAGTGTGACGGCCAGGTGGAAGTTCAGTGCTTAGTCTTTTAGTCAACTGACAAAGGAGAGAAGTTTGTGGATTTACTCAACAAGCAAGGAGTCATCCCTGGGAATCAAGCTCGATCTCGGTGTCGTTCCCCTAGCTGGAACTCTCGGAGAAACAACCACCCAAGGCTTAGACAACCTTGCTCAGAGAGCCGCTGCTTTAAGAAGGTAAGCAATGTTGATTCATTTCAGAGCACTATAATTGATTGAAGTCGTAAAAAATGTTCTGCAGGGAGGATGTGGTTTCGCGAAGTGGCGTTGTGTATTGAACATTGGACCTCACACTCCTTCCCACTTGGGAATGTTGGAAAACGCCAACGTTCTGGCCAGGTCTGTGAATTAACTCGTTTTTATACCCTTTCTGCACTCATAGTGACCTTTGCAGGTACGCGACTATTTGCCAAGCAAACGGTCTTGTCCCCATCGTTGAGCCTGAAGTTTTGTGTGACGGTGATCACGACATCCACCGCGCTCAGAAGGTTGTAGAAAGTAATTTCTGAAAAAGAAGATCTAGACTGCTCCCAGTAGAAGCGAAATCTGGAACCGGATTCAATATGGGTCTTTTCACACATGAGAAGTTTTTTTAAGGTCACCGAGCAGGTGTTGGCCTACGTCTATAAGGCTTTGGCTGATCATCACGTCTACCTCGAAGGTACCTTGTTGAAACCAAACATGGTCACACCTGGTGTGGATTGCCCGAACAAGGTGGGTAAAGATGGAAATCAGTATTTCGGGTGTAGAAAATCCTTGTCTTTTCTCAGGTAAGCCACGAAGAAATCGGTTTGGCCACAGTCACAGCTCTTCGCCGAGGAGTCCCAGCTGCTGTTCCCGGAATCACGTTCCTTTCTGGTGGTCAATCCGAGTTGGACGCAACCGCTAACCTCCATGCTATCAACACGGTTGGTTTTTGTTTGAGTGAGTTCTATGCTACAAAAAACATCATGCATGTTCAGGCGAAGCCGCTGAAGCCGTGGAAGCTCACATTCTCCTACGGTCGTGCCCTGCAGGCTTCCGTGTTGAAGGCATGGCAAGGCAAGGACGAGAACATCGAGGCAGCTCAGAGGGTCTTCATTCATAGAGCTAAGGTGAGAGTTACAGAAGTAGAATTCAAGCAGTCCAATGGTAATTGAGCCAATGCCGATCTGATCGACAATTTTGAACTACTTGATAGCTGGGTAATTTTACGAAACCTTCAGGCTAATGGAATGGCTGCTCTTGGCAAGTATGAAGGTGAAGATGCTGCTGGTGCTGCTGCAGAGTCCCTCTTCATTGCTAAGCATGCCGTATTGATCGAATGCCGTCGGTTACTATTCGGCTGCCCATCAGTTTGTGGTAACTACGCGTAGTATTGATGACCCTTAAAATATTTTATAATACGTCCTAGCTGCTTTGAAAGGCTAGTCGCGCATAACTGTATCTTGTTATGTTTTATCAGATTGGTTACAGTAGTGATAAATATGTACTAATAAAAATATACTGTCAATTTTGTTCGTCTACTAGCGTGATCACGCAGAGAAATATTGTGTAGTGCAGTACATGACGTGCCTTCAGAGTGAAGACAACAGCAAGTTTTGAGACCCTTGCAGATTCGCTGTCTATCTGAGAGATAAACACCGTGAAGCAACATTTTCATGTCGGATGACTTCTACGGGTGAAACTTGCGAAGAGGTGGCTGATGCCAGGGAGCGGTATCTTCGCTTTTTCGCGAATGCTGCAGGAAGCAATGTTGGTTTCGTTCCATCCTCTCCGAAATACATACATAACTACCGCATATAATGGGAAACTAAGTAATTCTATCTGATCACTTAGCTTACATTAGAAGCATTTTCTGCAACTTTTAGACAAATGGGATTTGAGGGTTGATATATTCCTCTTTTGGGTTAGGTAGTAGAGCGGCTGGTGGAGCCGTCTAACGTGCATGATGCGGGGATCAAATCTAGAACCAATTTTTGTTCAGGACTACAAAGCGGGGTAACCGCACGTTCGCACTTTCTCAAAAATTTTGCGATCCCTCTTTAGGGCGTGTCGGTGCGACCCCCTACCACCATTATCAGTCTTAGGAGGTTCCCCAAAAACAAATCCTCCCCTCCTTACCTCGATCGCGACCCTCACCATCATGGCTGTTTCTATAGTACTTGATTCGAGATCAATCGACACAGCCTAAAGCTCAACCCCGCCCACTTGCCACTTTTTCCTCCAAAACAACCGTATTGTCGAGCGGGTAAGGGAGATTTTTTTTACTACACTTTACTTTCGTGAAACTTTTACCAAATCCTTCAAAAAAAACCGTCTGAATGGCAGCCACTTTCAAGGACTTTCGTTCCCAAGACGATACCTTGCTCAACCCCAAAATGGGACCCCCTTTTCAAGATAACAAGTGCGATCCCATCTAGGAGATCTGTAGGAGTGCAAGCGGACGGTTGACCGTGCTACCAAGCTTTCCATCACTTGGGTTGGTCATTTGGCTCCAGAATGTCTGAATAAAAATACTCACCGGACATTGATAAGCTGGCCTCTGCAGGTTGTATTGTATTGAGCGTCTTACATTCAAAAACGTCACGATTCTGAATAGAAATCGATTCGCCTATCCCAAAATGGGTTTGATATCCAGCTTTATCCTATTTTACGCTCCTCGGATTAGTTCAGCAAGATTTTGAAAAAAAATCCTAGCAAAAATCCTAATTTCCTTGTGTGTGGAGTCCTCTTCTAATTGTTG